TCACCACAGGCCAGTTCCATTGCCTGTAAGAGATTTTCCCTGGTATATGGGTTTCGGTCATAGACTTTCCACCACCATGTAGAGAAAAACTCTTCTGTTGGGTTGAGGAAAGTGCTGTATGGTGGAAGGACCACATTCTGTTCCTGGTCTTACTCTTCCTCGTCCTTTTTGTCCAACACCTCATATTCCTCTACCTGTCATATTGTTATCCATAGTTGATGGATGTACCTGTGCCATCTGTGCACTTTGAACTGGCTTATGATTTGTACCTTCTCATCACATAATTAGAAACAAGTGTGAAGAATGTTGAATCACTGTGTATAAATGATGACAACTGTGCTTTAGTTGTGTTTAAGTTTTGCTGTCCTCTGTTCAGTGTTTTGCAACACAAGTTCATCACAGTGTGAACTGTGTTTTAGTGAGTGAGAATGTCTTTAGAGTTTAGCAGAAAGAGTGCAGTGTCTAACTGCCTAAAGTTGTTTAAGATTTTGCAGAAAGAGTGGTTTATTCAGCAAATTGGTTTAGGCTATTGTGAATTTGGTTCAGAGAATGGGGTTTATTGTCTTAGCAATTGTGAAAAACTGTAATGCTAAACACCATAAAGCAACAGGAAAACCTTGTTTCTACAAGAACCAAGTGGAGACACTGGAAGAGGTGATCATGGTGGATAGGTGATTTAATGGTTCAAAGGTAAAAACTGTGCACAGTACAGAGGAGTAGCAAAATCGCTTCACAGACACAAATACACAAGTAAAGCACCAGACAGCTCAGAACAGTAAAAACTGTGCACAGTTCAGAGGAGTAGCAAAATCTCTTCACAGACACAGATACACAAGTAAAGCACCAAACAGCTCAGAAATAATTGACCCTGGCAGGTTATGGGTAAGTATTAGCACAAGACGCAGCTCAGAGGAATAACTAGCCCCTGGCAGGTTCCTGGTAAGTACAACAATGCACAACAAGTGAGTAGCAGAAGACTGGCAGGAAGCAGGTAGAATTAAGACAGAACACAAACTGGAAAGTAAACCTGACCAGGACTGTAGCTAAGTAAACAAAATAATTCGGTGACAAAACAGAAGTCCTAGGCAACAAGAAGCTAAAAACAGCCTTAGACTATTCAAGGAGAGTTGCAAGTAAGGGACAGATATTGAGAGTGCAGATCAGGCCATCGGGAAGGTTGGAAGGAGAGGCCCATTCATCTTCTCCATCCATCCATCCATTATCTATACCCCTTATTCCTCAGTATGGTTGCTCACACTGGGCGAGAGGTGGGACAGGTTTCCAGTCTATCACAGACAGATAACCACACACACTCACACTCACTCCTACGGGCAATTTAGAGTCACCAGACAAACTAAGGTGCATGTCTTTGGGCTGTGGGAGGAAGCTGGAACACAAGGAGAACATGCAGACTCCATAGAGAAAGCCCCCGGGTCGGCCGGGACTCAAACCCTGACCTTCTTGCAGTGAGGTGACAGTGCTAACCACCACAACCTCTTTCAGGTTTCACAGCAGCTGTCCTATTGGATTTATGCCTCTTCAATTTTCTTCCTTTGAAAGTCACATGTACAGTCCAGTCACTCCCAAAATGCCTTTCTGCCCTTCACCTGTCTCCATGTTTAGAGGTGACTACAAAGGGCTGGCAAGACACAGACAACAAGAAACTGATGTAAGTAATTGAGGTCAATCATAGTGGAGTCAAGCTGGGGCTGGTGAGGGTGGCACAGTACAGAAAATAATTTCAAAATAAGAGTCACACACAGGAAGTATTGGGAGACCACAGCAAAGATTAAGCTGAAATACTTTGCTCAGTAGTGTAGGTAACTAATTAGCAAATCCAAGGACAGAGCAAAGAGAGAACAATACAAGGCTGACATCTAGTGTTTCACAATCAACACAACAAAACTGTTATGGTGCTATACTGTATGTAACAGAAGTATCATTTACATAAAAACAACAACAGCATTCAAAGTCATTGTTTAAAATGAGAACTTTTATTTTCAACAGCTATAGCAAAATGGAAAAATATTTTCCATATAAAGCACTTTAAACAACAATCCAAAGTAAATACACTGCATTACAGTCATCAGTCATGCCATCTGTAAAGATAATATTAACAGAACAGTAATAAAGCCTACAGGACAGAAGAAAACCTGATCTGACTTATGCTCATTTGATATATTTAGCACACTATAATTCCTTTTAATATTTAAAAGGATTTTGCACTAAAATGAGAAAACCTGCATGCATGTAAGTGAACAGCAAAGATGAAGCAAAACCAAAAAGCAGAAGAAACATAAAGACAAAGACAGGTACAAAAGATACAATTTTCTGCATGCACTCTTCTTATTTTAACCGGCCATTTAATCCGTACACTCTGTAAGTGTGTCGACTTCATACAAGTCCTCCAGCTCTCCTTCTCTGCTTCCCTCGTTGCTGGTCTTCCTGTGGATGACAAACACCCATCAGGTTGTTGAAGGAACAAAGTCAGATTGCAGATCACTTTTTATCCATGCTAACCTCAAGAGGAGGTGGGAAAGTTAACACAAAGCACTCAACAACAACAACAACAACAACAACAACAACAACCCTGTGTGTGTCTATTTCAGGTACAGTGTGGTGCTTAGAGCTTTGTGTCATCTTGTCTCTCTATCCTCTTAAGGTTCAGCTGATAAGCTGTGCAGTGTATGAAGTGTATGAGCTAGGTCTAAATACATTTAGAAAATTTACCTTAAGGAAGGATGAATGTGAGGTGAAGACCTCAATAAGCCCCAAGAACCACTGCAAGAAGGAGATGTAATGTAAGAGGCCAGAATTCATCAGCTTATAACACAATTATTGACAAGCAGAGACTTTATTGTAGCTTAAAGGAACCACTTTTTTCCCTCCACTGACATTTGTGCCTGTTGTATTTTATAATGCCTCTGTTCATTAGGTTTTGTCTGCCAGTATTATTTAGACACTCAGTATAGGTGCATCAAACTCCCACCTGATGTTCCCAACCCTTTTCCTAAAAAGACCCGTTTTATCACTGAGCACAATGACGACCCCACCCCCTCAACCACACACACACAATTACAAACAGAAATATAGAGTACTTTTTTTTTCAAATTTCCTTTATAGATATTTCATAATTTATTTTATATATCACTATAGAGCCATTTAAACCCTATACATTGAACCCCAACAGTGAACTTAACAACTACAGTACGTTTGTGTATGCCAAGTAATTTTTTTCTTAAAGTTTGAACAGGTTATTTTCTGTGTATACTGCAGTATATTAGATCATTTTCCTCAGTCTAAATTTAGCTTTGAAGCGATGTCTGGTCCTGTATCCGTGTTCAACATAGAATCTCTTGAGGAGAGAATTTGACTTGACATCCATGAGCTCATCCTCAGCTTGGAGGTATTCCACATCCTCTTCTTTTGCAAGAAACAGATCCATGTCTCATACATGTTTTGTGACAAATTTATCAACATCTGAAAATCTGGATTTTATTTCTGTATTCCCCCCCCATACACACAGTTAAGAGTGGCTTGTTATTGGAAACAAAAGCAGTGCAGCCATTATTACAAGGGTGTTCATTTAGTGTATCAGGAAAGGATAAATGCTTTGGTCTGCCCGAGTTTGTGGCTAATTTCAAGTTCAAAACAAAACAAAACAAAAACAGGATATGACCTGGTCAAACTAGCTGAATCTGTGTTTTTATCCAAGCTTCTGCTCACTGCTTTGTCTTGTTAGGGGCCTAATTGCAGAGCTGGCAGGTTGGCAGAGCAGAGCAGGAAGGATTTGCACAGTAGGCAACTTACATAAGAAGACCTCCAGGGGCAGACATTGACCTCTCTGGCCGTCTGCCATGACACTCAAAGGGATTACTGAAAGACCGCTTCCTCAGCATGGACTTCACCAGAATCTGCAGTGGACATCAGAGAGAGTCTCAGTGAAAGTAAAGACAGGTGTCCAACCAAAATGTGCTCTTTTAAAGGTCTAATTTCACATTCTGGAAAACTGCAAACTATTTAGTCAAGTCAGGTCAATTTATTTATAATCAGATTTAAAAACAACAATATTAAATGATAGCAAAATGTGTTAAGCATGTTGTGTCTTCTCATGTCTGTTACTGCAAGATTTAATAGCGCCTCTCCAAATTCTTGTTATGAAAACACATCCAGAAGGAAGAACACCACATCAGAATAAAATCTGACTCCTTTGGCTGCGTCTAACACTCCATCTCAAAGAGCCAAACTGATGTTAACCCTGGTTTTTGCTCTTTCTTTGTCCCGCCCCCTCTGTCGCCAAAGAACGTGACCTCCTTGGTCTGGATCTTTAGCTGCTGAGAGCTCCTCCATGGCCGGCTGTTTAAAATGACTACTTTGAGTTTGAAAAACACTTCTTATAACGTTTGCTAGGTGGCAGGAAGGGCTAATTTACAGACCTGATTTTGACAACACAGGGTAGGGAAGCTGAAATAACAAGAGAAAGGCTGTAGGCAGCAGACTGTCATTGTCGGGGGAAGGACAGTGGAGAGACTCCACATCCTTTCCCATTTTCAATTGATTTATCAGACAATGTATACAATCATAGTTAATGCACCTGTAACCCTCTTCTGTCTGACCATTCTTTAATCACTTTGGAATTTACATTAATGGATTATACGGTGTATTGGAAAAATTCCACTACAATAGATGTCTATCTGACAACGCTGTTACCAAATTTAAGGAAATAATTTCATCATTATTTACTTCAGTGCCATTTGCCAACACAGTGGAAGGAGGCCATTTTAACTTTACTTAAAGATAGTTTAATAACATATAAAAAGCCCTTCGTAGTGCCAGAACCGCATTTTATTCATTACTAATAGAGCAAAATAAGAACAACCCCAGGTTTCTTTCACAAAGAGCCACAGTGCTGTTGAGCTTAACATTCCCTTAGATCTCAGTAGTAATGACTTCATGAGCTTCTTTATAAATAGAGAACATCTGTAAAACCTCATTTATACCTGGACTACTTCTCTCCCATAGATCTCTCTGAGTTGACCTCAACAATTGCTTCATCTACATAAATCATCAACATTTCTCCTGGTCTCCTCTATCAGTCAGGATTTAGAGTCCATCATAGTACAAAAACTACACTGGTGAAAGTCACCAACGATCTTCTCCTAGCCTCGGACAAAGGACTTGTCTCCATACTTGTCCTCTTAGATCTTAGTGCTGCTTTTGACACCAATGATCACAGCATCTTACTGCAGAGAATTGAACATGTTATTGGGATTAAAGGAACTGCGCTAAGTTGGTTCAGATCTTATTTATCAGAAAGATTCAAATTTGTTCATGTTAATGATGAATCTTCCACACAAACTGAAGTTAGTCACGGCATTCCACAGGGCTCTGTGTTAGGTCCAATTCTCTTCACTTTATACATGCTCCCTTTAGGCAATATTATCAGGAAGCACAACATAAATTTCCATTGCTATGCAGATGATACTCAGTTATATTTATCTATGAAGCCAAATGAATCAGGTCAGCTGGTCAAACTTCAAGCATGTCTTAAAGACATAAAGGCATAGCCATCATAGTACAGAAACTGCACCAACAATTTTCTCCTAGCCTCAGACAAAGGACTTGTGTCCATACTTGTCCTCTTAGATCTTAGTGCTGCTTTTGACACAGTTTTTCTCAGCATCTTACTGCAGAGACTTGAACATGTTATTGGGATTAAAAGATGAATCTTCTGCGCAGACTGAAGTTAGTCACGGCGTTCCACAGGGCTCTGTGTTAGGTCCAATTCTCTTCACTTTATATATGCTCCCTTTAGGCAATATTATCAGGAAACACAGCATAAATTTCAATTGCTATGCAGATGATACTCAGTTATATTTATCTATGAAGCCAAATGAATCAGATCAATTGATCAAACTACAAGCATGTCTTAAAGACATAAAGGCCTGGATGGCCTGTAATTTCATACTTTTAAACTCTGGCCAAACCAAAGTTATTGTTCTTGGGCCTGAAAACCTTAGGGTCAGGGTTAGGTTTTTCTTTGTAATAATAATAATAATAATA